ATATTGTGCGGGCCTTTTCCTCGCTGGTAGGAATTCCGGAGGGATACATCTTTTATTTTTTCTCATAGTTCCCACGCATGTCAAATCTCGTTTCAGTAATTCATTCACTAATTCGATAGAAGTATACAAGTTATCAACTGTTATGTTTCTTTCAGTTTTAATGATTGGTTCCACTAACTGTAAAACAACTTGTGTAGCATGGGGTAATTCATTTTTCGTGTTCTCCCTTTCATTTTCCTTTCTGGTGGCACCTGTATAGACTTCAGTTCCCACGCATGTCAAATCTCGTTTCAGTAATTCATTCACTAATTCGATAGAAGTATACAAGTTATCAACTGTTATATTTCTTTTAGTTTTAATGATTGGTTCCACTAACCCTAAAACAACTTGTGTAGCATGGGGTAATTCATTTTTCGTGTTCCCCCTTTAATTTTTTTCTCTAGTGGCACCTGTATAGACTTCAGCGTTAACCATATAGTGTGTCTTGGAGTCAGCCATAATTTGTATTTCTATCCCATATTTTGCGGGTTTATTTGGAAGGTACATTCTAAAGCCACAGCGACCTCGAAAGGGTACCAACATTTCATCTATGGTGAGATTCAGTCCAGGCATGAAATTTTCTCTAGAATGTTCTACGAATTTATCAAAAAGTTCAATAATCGGTGCTAATTTATTATATTTCCTTCTTTCCTCTCTCGTTTGTCCTTCATCGAAACGTAAACAGAGTAATAAAAATGAGAACCGAGCTAGGGACATAGTACAACGAAAAATATCTCTACCAGTACCATCAGTGGCTCAAAGACTCTTGAGGTCTTCATGACCTGACTCAAATATCCCTGATAAATATAACAGCTTTCAGTTCGGCTTTAGTTGTATTTCCAATGAATGATGGCGAAAATACCTGTCCAGCGTTTTTTTACGTTTTTTGAATTAATCGTGATTATTTTGTACACTTGCGATCCGATTGGTTGCAGAGCCTGATTCAGGTTTTCAGCGTTTGGCAGAGTGCCACTCTTGTAGCTTCGTTAAGAAGCTGGATCTATTTGGTCGAGTTGGAATAGATGTGATTCACAATAAACCCCCGCGGGTTGCAGTGGAGAGTCGAATAGATCCATTCACTTTAAACCTACCTGATGTTATAAGGAACCTAAACACTATCAGAATTATAGTTTTTCAACAGACCTCTGCAGGATGATACTCTAGAATATCGCTTTATTCTGTGGATGGACTATTTCCTCCGAAGTTTTTTGACCCTAGGAATGCCATCATACGTGCATTGCTGTTCTCACCTTTTAAACCGTTAGCCAATATGATGATAACATTTGAAAATCAATAGAAGATGAGGTTGCAACTTTTTTTTACGTGCGATACCGGTCATCACCATCTGAATATTAACCTCCTCCGCAAATAGTGGCATTTGAATACTAAGTTCGCCTTGACCTAATAACCGGCTACTAATCTTTATTAATCCCACTGAATAGCCAGAATTATCTAGTGAATGTTTCGTCGGCAGGTACACTTCTAATTTTTTATCGCTCCATTCATCTATTAGTCGTTCGTTACTATGATTGCCGAATGGAAAATTCACTGGAATACTAAAACTGACTCATAAAATGCTTTATGCAAGCCGCTATTTGGCTTGACATGTATGACAAACCAATCCTGATACATATCCTTTGA